ATCCCTTTACTGAGTACATTATATCGGTATTTAGAAGGATGAAGCTAACTCTAAATTATTTCGGTGCGTAGGGATAGTTAAAATAATAGGATTTCCCCATCCCCATAGGTCTCTCAGGTCACACGGGCCAATCTGTCCAGTTGTAGGTTCCCACCTGGCTCTGACAGGTGTCCGATGACATGACCTTGGTTCACAAGCTGGCTGGTAGATGTTATGACTAGCCAGCTGAGGTACCACATTCCTAAATTCCCCCCTCTTCCCCCCTTGAATGGCAACCAAAAAAATGAAGCAGAATTAAGCCTGGTTCCAGTTGAAGTCATTTTGCAGGTTAATACTGGCATTGAAATAAGATTTTTTTTTACATATTCACTTTGTTATTTTTTTATTTACATTTATGCAATTGTGATTCAAAAATTCTAGTAATTTAGAATTTCAAATATGGGGAACAACATAGCGCAAGTATGTTCCATGTAATCTTGGGTTATTTGTTTCTGTCTATACTTTTATTAATTACTCAGAGAAAACAAGTAAATATTTGGATTGGGAGGATTTTAGGGGCAAGTAAAAGCTTATTCAGATCCTTCCGGTCAGACATCTGGGAGATACAGGTAATCCTTGATTTATGACATTATGACAACACCTGAGCCTGGAATTATGGTCATAAGTCATTGTGGTCATAAGTCGAGGCATCACATAACCACACCTAGTTTTTTAACATTTTTGCCACATCTGGCCACAGGTGGTCAGTTTGACACTCCTGTATTAAAGGAATCAATTTTCCCTAATGGAGTGTTTTTGCCAGAAACAGAAACTGGCAAAAAAGTGCAAATAGCAATTATATGACTGTAGATCACTGTAAACAGTTGTAAAGTTGAGTTGGTTGCCAAGCACCCAAAATACAATCATATGGGCATAGTGCGAGTGTGGCTGCTGCAACTTTGAAAACTGGCTATAAATAGCTTTTGGGGGGTCTGTTGTAATTCAAATGATTGTTAAGCAACCTGTTTTAAGTCAAAGACTATCTGTACTCATTAAAAAATGTAATGAGAAGAAATAAAAGGGCATTATTTCTGTACACTGTTATCTTGTTACTTTACATTTCTGGGAAGAATAGAGTTATCAGGATATGTTATCTTGGTTGCAAAAATCCAGACAACCATTAAATATCAGTTAAGCTATATAGAAAAAATCTAATTCTGATGAGCTCATTTAGATTTTGGCATCCCTAGGAAAGACCCACATGCAAAATCTTTTTACATATAAAAATAGGAGAATCCAGTGTGCAAAGTGCAAACCCAATGGACACTTAATGCTGGAATATAATCCTGTTGCACTTTACTCTAAAAGTTCTGTGTGGTGCAATAAAGTCCTCCTCCACGCTCAACCTCAATTAGGGTTATAGCATTCAACTGTTTTTATTATCCCTTTTAATGTCTCTTTTGAATGGTTATCAATATAGACATGGAGAAAAACCACATTTAAACACCATTCAAAAGTATCTGGAAGCTTCAGCTGGTGTCGAATGCAATGGTGCAGGCAGTTATGTGAGTCCTAGAGCAGCACATGTTGCACCTTTAAAGCCCTTCACAGCATGGGACTGTGCTGTTTGAGGTCCTTCCTATTGTTGGTTGCATCAGTGCATCCACTAGTTCTGTCAGAGGTGGCACGTTGTGGGTTCCATTGTCTAGGGATCTTCATTTGGTGGATTGCAGGAGAAGTGCCCTCTCTGCTATGGCAACCACCTTATGGAACATTGTTCCCCCAGAAATTAGATTAGCTCCATCCCTTTTCATAAGGCATCCAGAGTTACGCTGTAGTAAAATGGGTAAAAGGGATGTGGTGGCTCATTGGCTAAGACGCTGAGCTTGTTGATCAAAAGGGTCAAATCCCTAGTGCCGTGTAATGGAGTGAGCTTCCGTTACTTGTCCCAGCTTCTGCCAACCTAGCAGTTCGAAAGCACATAAAAAATGCAAGTAGAAAAATAGGAACCACCTTTGGTAACAACATTCTGTGTGCCTTTGGCATTTAGTCATGCCGGCCACATGACCATGGAGATGTCTTCGGACAGCGCTGGCTCTTCGGCTTTGAAACAGTGATGAGCACTGCCCCCTAGAGTTGGGAACGACTAGCACATATGTGCAAGGGAAACCTTTACTTTAACTTTAAGATGGGCAATCAATCAATCAATCAATCATTTGTAAAACCCTCAAAATTTTGGTTAGATTGGGACTGCCTGGCAACAGGAAACTTGCCCAGATGGCTCCATTATTGAGGTAGCCATTTTTATTCTCCCTCTCCTGTGGTTTGTATCTTTCACTTTTATCATACTTATAAATGAGGTTTTTTACATTATACACCTTTGATTTTATTCATTATTTTATTTGATAGTTGTTCACCATGCTGAGTTGCCTTCAGTGAGATGGGCAGCTATATACATTTGATTAATCGATAAATTAAATAAATAAGAGATACAATAAAAAGCTAAAAAGGAAAAAAACAAAAACAAAGACAATCTCTCCAACATCCAGATTCCATCTCTGCCATCTCTAAGAAGGATAAAACAAGATGTTGCCTATGTGAAATCCTGTAGAAATGCTGTTGGTCAGTGTTCATAACTATTTGACAGATTCTTTCTTTGTTCTGTTCTTCCAAATTATCCAATCACGGAAATGATTAATATGTTTTGACTGTCACAGATCATCTTATTTTTTCCCCCAAAATAGGATAGTAGAAGCATTAAGTACAAGGAGACTTTGGGTTATGATAGCAGTTGGGACTGTGATTGTGATTGACACAAGTGTGATGTCTTGTGATTGTGTAATTTAGCGATGACAAAGACAGGCAGTCTCAGTTGCTGTCATAACCCCAAGATGTAGGAGTTGTTAAGCAGAAGAGGCAGGTAAAGTACATGTGATGGGGAGTGCCGTGGGAGGGCGAGCCAAGGAAGGAAGGAGAATTAGATATGTTTCCTGCCTTGAGTTATTTATAAAAATAATAAAAGCAGGATAATCTGTTTAGCAAGGCCAGTAGCTTTGGACTGCATTAGTGATCCATTCTGAGTACTGAGTACTGGTATCCTCAGGATATCCACTGACTCCTCAGAATATCCACTGACAGAGGCTTTTAGTTCTGCTCTTTTTCTTAAAATTGTTTCTCCAGTGTCTTGCTTGCTCAAATGGAATGAACAATTAATGCTAGTAAGACAGAACAGTTCTAACTTCCATTGCTTTCTTGCTGGTTTGTTAGCCAACAGCAGAAAAAATGATGAGGAGGAAAATTATGGTGACTCATGAAAGGAACAGAGTTCTTTGAAGGTGTGTTTTGAAGGACCTTCTGAAATCTGGAGATGATATTGAGGGGGAGATGTGACACACCATACATATTCATTGTATGAATAACATTACAAGTGAAACCATATGATATCTGTGAAAGTTTCAAATGTGATGGAATTAATTAGGAACTGAAATGAAGTAAAGTCCCATTTCTTTTTTATGTAGACATTGGTAAAATATAAATATTAAAGGGATATTAGGATCAAATATGATTAACTCGGACTGATCTGTCTTATGATTTGTCAACTTTTGTTTCCTTTCCTAATTGATCTCCTATGTTTTGATTACCAATTGGTTAATTTATGCTTGCTAATTTTATATGAAACCAAATTCAGGCCAGTAAGCACAAATGTAGTTTGCCAAGAGATTGACAGTAACTCTGTTATTATAATCTCAGGCAGAAAATGTATCCTCAAAGTAAGCTAGCTCTTACTGTAAATTCATATCACTTCTACTTAAATCAGATTGATCTGTTGGATACTACTTGTTTGCCAGTTTCTATTCTCTATTGTATGTCATGATCACACTAGTATTGTGTTATGTACATTTATGTCATCTCATTTTAAAATGACCTGTGGGGTTAAGAATTCTTGTTTGACTCTATGTGTGATTGTAAATCACACAACCATTTATATTGCACTCCTGTACACCATTTGACGTACCAGGCTAAACACAACTCACAAAGCACACATGACAAATCATTAACATAACTGTGTATTCCATGTTCAATATTTATTGCCCATCTGGATTACAAAAATCAAACATTAAGAAACTGGCCATTTTTCCCCCAATAGTACAATTTTAAAATATGCAGTATATGATCACACATGGGTGATGTAATTATTCTTGTAGAAGGTTTAGCTTAAACCAATTTACCAAATTTAGAGCCAGAGAGTATTTTAAATCAGGGTTCCATTTTAACCTTAATGTTTAACAGCTCTGCTTCTCCTGTGTTTTTAATCTGTAGGTAGAGCCATTTGATAAATGAAGTACTGTATAGCACAAAGATGAATACTATAAAAAAGATCATTCAGGCAACTCTTTGAACAAAATAAAATAAACAAAAAGTCACAGAAGCAGAGAAACTAAGAAAACAAAACCAAATAGACAACTCTTATCTTTTCTAATGCAAGAACTTTTCTAATAAAAGATGTAAGGATAATAAATAGGATTTCTTGACTTTGAGTTTTCTACTTGGTTTTTCTTTAGCTCTGGAATAGTTTTTCTACCCTCTTAGAAAAGGATTTAAATCCAGAGGGTGAACCCTTTAGATAAACTTGAATCCCAGCAGCTTTCTCTCTTGCTTAGTTTAAAATTTTCTTCATGTAGAAAATTCAATCCTTGACTGATCCAAAAAATTATGACAAATGAATCCAGATACAGCAGAGGCCCATTTAATTATCGAACTCTCCTTTCATTTGAGAAATGGCATGTTTTGTTTTTCTTCCATATTGTGTGGGATTCCCTTTTCCTTTTAATTGAAGAAACACTGCTTCCCTGTGCTTCGGGTCTCCCCTGCCCTGCTTCCTTTTCGATAATAGCAATGGATCACTTGCATGTGGTGTTTGATGCCTTGCATGATGCTAACATGCAAAGGCAAGTTCCAGTCTGCATGCTGCTTAATGAATGTTTTTCCCCTTTCTCTCCCTCCTTGTTATGTGCTTTCAGAAGACAACTATGTGGAAGGTGGGTGATTTCTATCTTATTTTTTAAGATCTGTTCTTTCCTTGCATATCCCTTCTCTTTAGTGTTTTGCCTCCAGGTTAGTGTTTATAATGATACATCTTATCATTAAAACGGTAAGTTGATTTTGTTCTTTCTTTATGAGAGTGTTGAAATCTTAAGATCATGGTTCTGGATATTCCTCTGCTACCCACCCTCACCCACCAACTGAAAATTCACTGCTAAAAATGCAATTGATATCTAGGTTTAATTGGGGAAAGTAGAAGTCAAGTACCACATATTTGTGCTCTATAAATCTATTAAGTGGTTGACTTCATATACAAGTTGCTTTAATGCATTGTAACATGATAACCAAATAAAGTCCAATTTTATATTTAAAAAATTATAATCAACATATTATGTCTCAAACTGTGACAACAATCAAGAAACTATCCTGGATATTCATAAGAATTTATATAGTTCCCTAATTTTTCCCTAATAGAATTGGTCATACTATACTATAAGTTGCTTTTGAAGTTGCAATGATTATTTTTAAAAAAATCTACATTGTGATATGGCATTAACTTTGTCTTCATAATCAGTGCTTCTAAAATTAGAAATCACTATACAGTAATTCAAAATATATGGTAAGCCTTTCTTGTAAGTATAGAGTTCAATTTTAACTTTGACATTAAGGAACTGCTTCAAGAAAGAGGAAAGGGGACACTTCCCTTCTACATCTCTAGAAACTTTCATGACTTTTTGCATTTTTTAATGGAATCAAGCAGAGGAAAAACAATAATAAGAACAACAACAAAACTGTATTCACTGCATTCTCTGTGGTTGCATGATAACATTTTGGATTATTGTTTATATTACTGTGGTTAGGAGTATTTATGCTACTATTGTAGAGAGATGGTGTGATTTAATTTTATTATCTTACATGGTAGAGGCAGGACATGATCCGTATTCAAGATAATGGATCATATTCTCAAATTATTCACACCAGTTTCTAGTTTTGCAAGAAGGGCCATTCATTTGTGTATTTATCAGTTTATTCATGTAATTTCATTTTTTTTATTTATTAGATGTATATTCTGTTATTTTTCCATAAGATGGTATATGTAGCACTCTCATCTGTTTTTAAACAACATCCCTATGAACAGGTTATGCTGAGAGACTGACATTTTTAAAATCAGTCAAGACTAAGGATAGTCATGAACCTGAGTCTATCCAATCTCAGTTTAACATTTGAAATATTGTGTTTACAATGACTTTCAGTTGGCATTGAATTTAATTTATTCCAATGTCACAAAAAGTAATAAATATAAAGATTGCTTATTAATAAGCAGCATCTCTGTAACTATTGCCTGTTATACCACTATTCTCTCACACATAATAAGGACTCCTGAGAATCTGATTGTGGTCCAAATTCCTTTAGACTGTGTACAATTTATTTTATTGAAATGACAGAAAGAGACAGACTTGCTTTAATAATATTTTTAAGAACATCTTCCAAAGCAAATAACAAACAAATAGCACGTAATCTTGCTAAGTTATAAGTTGGTAAGTATATTTTTAGCGAGTAAAACATCTATAAGTATGTGTAGATTCTGTAACTTTATGGAAAAGTTACAGCAGATTGGTGTTTTGTTTATATGATGTTTACAGGGAATCTGATGAGCCACCTACCAAGGAGAAAACAGTATCCACCATCTGTTGTGGTCTAATTGTATTTTTGCCAATTGTGTAGCCCAGGCAGGAAGCAAAGGAGAGAAGGAGCCCTTCTCTTGTGGACTACCAAACATGCCATATGGTTCATAAGTTACAGAAACAGAACCACTCCACTTCAGGAGAATGGCTTTAATTGTTATCGTAATATGTTCTAAAGAAAGATATGGCAGTTTAAACAAAACCATGCCAACTATTTAATGAAAGGAAATGCCTTTGAAAATTCAATGAGGCAAACATGGAAGCTCATGGAGAATCAGCTGGCTTTTCTTTGCAATCTGTGGGGTCACTTCAGTAAAGATTAAGGATTTTCTCCATTTTTTTTAACCTAATTATTCATAAGGAGGAAAAAGTAAGATACATGCTACTATTCATATGCGTTGCAGAATAGTGTAAGATACATGCTACTATTCATATGCGTTGCAGAATAGTGTCTGAAGAACATTTGTAGTTAAGATGAATTTGCAGAGCCAGATATTGATGTCTACATATTCTCACTTATTGTATCATTTACATCCATGCATTCTTATATATTTCTTCATATATAAGCTTGCTTACTATATGATCTCCTTCCATTTCCTTCTGCTACCTTGATCAACATGTCTTCATCTAATGAGAAAAAAGTAATCAACAAAGGAAAGATCAGCAGAATTTAAAATCTCCAAGCCACATCATCCTTGTGGTACAATAATTACAGATAGTTCCTGATTTACAATCCCATTTTGGACCAGAATTTCCATTGCTAAGGAAGGCAGTTAATTTAGCGGCAATTGATTTTATGATCTTTTTTTTTGCCATGGTTGTTAAGTGAATCACTGAGTTGTTATGGGAATTATGTGGTCATTAAGCAAATCCAGCTTCCTCCCATTGTTTTGATTTGCTTCCTTTGACTTTGCTTGTCACAAGCCAGTTGGGAAAGTAGCAAATGGCAATCACATGACCCTGGGATGCTGCAACTGTAGTAAAAACTTGCTGCTTGTCAAGTTTCTGATTTTTAATCATGGGAGTTCTGCAATAGTTTTAACTGCAAGGATTGGTAAGTCACTTTTTTTCATTGCCTTTGTAACTTCAAATGGTTGTAGGCAATGACTACCTCACTTCCTGTTTAAACTGGGAATAGAGAAAACACAATTAGCAAACAAGTCAATCTCTTTAAGTACAGGTAATCCTCGATTTACAGCCACCGTTGAGCCCAAAATTTCTATTGCTATGCAAAAGAAGTTGTGAAGTGAATTTTGTCCCATTTTATCACCTTTCTTGCCAGAGTTCTTAAGTGAATCACTGCAATTGTTAAATGAATCTGGCTTTCCCAGATGTCCTATGGGTTTGGAGAGGAATCCTGTCTTTGGATCCCACATCCTAGACCCTATAGAAATATCTGTGATTCCATCTGTGGTCTAACAGTGCTGGAGCAGAGGCATGGCATGGGAAGAAATTGAGGGAAGCACTGATGCTGAATGAGTCAAAGCCTTCATGGTAATTCAGCATGTCCAAGAGTTGGTTTAGAACTATGCAAACCCCAACCAATAAGGGAGAAAATAAACAAATAAATGATTCAAAATGGCAAAACGATGGTAAATTATACTTCCTGATTTTTTCCCTGCCAGCCTGTTACCAGCAGAGCACTTAAAATATTAGAGGCTTTGACATTCAGGTTATCTGCGAGGTCAGGTAGAAACACTCTCTTAATCAACCATCTGCATTGGTTGATTACAGAATTTACATCCTAATTAAGTAATTGTTTTCAAAACTGATTAAAAATCCATCTAGAGAAGAAAAATTAGGTTATAATACTCATACACATGAACTGATATGAATGAGATCGATCAAAATTCTTTATACGTAGCGGTGTGTATAATTGCAGATATTCACACACAGTAAAAGTAACATCCAAGCAAAGTGTTCATGGACTAATAGAGCAGTGCATAAACATTAAAAGCTGATGCATGTCAAAACTGATCAAGGTTAATATACCAAAGTGATTCCGCTATGTGAGGCAATGAAGCCCATTTTAGCCTTTCCCCTAAAGATCATTCTTTTGTTTTAATCATAACTATACTTGCCTCTCTCTGATTACATTTATAACAACTATTTTTTTCCCCAATATACTCATTAGAAATACCTTTCTCTCAACCTCATTTTTGGTAATGTTCTCTTACATGCACTTTTTAAAATTTGTCTTACTTCTTCATGCTATCAGGCATCTTTTTCTTACTTCTCATTAGAATATCTCCATATACTGCTGTGGTATTTGGTGTGAAGCAGAAGCTCCAGCCTACAGAAGATCACTATTTTAAACAAACCTCTGCTGCCCAAGGCCAATACTTAGTTAATTTGGAAAATTAGAAATTTGGAAAATGAGAGGAAGAAGCTTAGAGCTTAAAACCTGGAGAATTTTAATTTCTTTGCTTTACAGTTGGCAGTCAATTGTTGTTTAAGGCTTCATTCTTGTCAGCAATACAGTTTCTACTCTAGGTAAATTATATCTGGGAATCTTCCATCTAGTCTAGTTGAGAGGTGAATTAAGGGTTAAGTGCAGTGGTGGGATTCAAATAATTTAACAACCGGTTCTCTGCCCTAATGATTTCTTCCAATATCCAGGTCACCAAACTGCTCAGAAAGTTAACAACCGGTTCTCCCGAAGTGGTGCGAACTGGCTGAATCCCACCACTGCTTAAGTGTATGGAGATCTGAGCCAGGTGTGAAGTCTGACACTTTATAACACAATTCTCTTTATTCATTTGCAAGCAGAGTTTGTATCACCTTTTCTTTCATTCTCTTTCCATTCATTTTGTTTAAATTAGAAGAGAGATTCATATTTTTCATAAAGGGTTTGTACCATTTCTTCCTGTAAAAGTTCTACTTTCACTTCAGGTTTTTCCACTTTTCTCTCTTTCTTTCTTCCATGATCATTTTTCTTAGTATCAATTTTTATACTGACAAATAATAATCCGATCCACAATCAGATCTTCTCAACCCTTTTGTGTCCTTCACTAATTCTCACAGTCTTCTATCATAGACAAGCAAATTAATCATGCTTTTACAGTGTAAGTATGAATAAAAAAACATTTTAAACTGGTATTAGAAAAACATTCTATTTGTTTATCAAATACAAATACTGAGCCCTGGTAGTGCAGCAGACTAAAGCACTGTTATTAACATTAGCTGCCTGCAATTACTGCAAGTTCAAATCTCACCAGGCTCAAGGTTGACTCAGCCTTCCATCCTTTCTAAGGTGGGTAAAATGAGGACCCAGATTTTGGGGGCAATAAACTGACTTTGTATAAAAATATACAAAAGTATGAAGGCTATTGCTTAACGCATTGTAAGCCGCCCTGAGTCTCCAGAGAAGGGCAGCATATAAATCAAATCAAAAAAACAAAACAAAACATGTAGTCCTCGACTTACAACAGTTCATTTAGTGACTGTTTGAAATGATAACAGCTCTGAAAAAAAGTGATTTATGATTGTTTTTCACCCTTACAACCATTGCAGCATCTGCATGGCCACATAATCAAAATTCAGATGCTTGGCAACTGCTATATATTTATAATGGTTAGTATCCCAGGGTCATGTGTTCCCCTTTTGCAACCTTCTGATAAGCTGAGTCAATGGAAAAACCAGATTCACTTAACAACTGTGTTACTAATTTAACAAGTGCAATGATTCACTTAACAAATGTGGCAAGAAAGGTTATAAAACAGGACAAATTCACTTAAGAAATGTTTCACTTAGCAACAGAAAAATGTGGGCTTAATTGTGGTTGTAAATTGAGGACTACTTGTAATCAACATTCTCATTTGTTACTGGGTCTCTAAATGGCACTCTAATTTCACTCTTCTTGTTTCTAGCCCATTGCTTCATATAAGGTATCCTCATTGCATTCATTCAAAATGTTTCAACAAATTACTGCAAGTTCTTTCATCCTTCACTGAGGCATAACATGCAACATCCATGCATCCATGCACATATATAAAAAAACCTTACCTTCTGCCGTATATTTGATTACTTACATTCATAATTAAGTCTATATTTTATTTCCTTTTATGCATCCATCAAAAACACTCTATGTGGTCAAATTACTTTGAATTATATCTCCCTCATTTTTCTTAGTTTTAGAGGCAATTTTTTCTTTTGTTTTTTTCTTTCTGTTTTTTTAGTTAATTTTTTTTTTATCATGCACTTTTTTATACCAAGTTACAGCTTGCATGATCATCAACATAGGACTCCTGAATATTTTACTCCACTGGTCACTGATTACGGCTTTGATCAACCAAGACTTTCACATTTTACTGAATAAAATAAAGACAATGTAGCAAAGTTAGCAGATTAGTTGTCCTCATGTTATATGCAACAATCCCTACTAAGAGTTTCATTGCACACAGTAATTCATATATCAATGCTTCGTACATACTTAGCTATTTTATTTTAGATCACTACATTTAAAAAAAAGAGTTAAATGTTGCACATTTTTTAAAAATTCAGTTTAACATTATTATGGTCACAGACCAATGTGCAGATTTATATAGTTAACAGATAACACAGGCAATATAAAATTCAGATACAAGAAACTAATATCATTTTTAAAAACCATATGAATTGTTATGCTATCTAGCTGAATGAGAATAATATTGTGAGAGTAAAATTATAAAAATTCATAATTCCATTTATGACAGGAAACCTAGTATATTCATTCATTTATTATTATATTTATTTATTTTGTATAACCCTCCATCTCAATCCAGTAATTCTGGGTGGTGAATAATCATAAAACCAATTAAATAATCCATCAGTATCAGCATAAACAGAGCCCTTCACATACTTGAAGGACACCACCAGGTCTTCAGGGTCTTGGAAAAGACCAGCCATCCTAATCTCAGGAGGGAGTGTGCTTAAGAGGGCAGGCACTATACAGAAAAGCATAACTTTTGGTTCCTGTCAGCTGATATTCCTTAGTCAGTGCATCCCCAAGGTGCATCCCCATCTTGCTAGAAAGGATTGGATGAATAAAAACAAATGGAAGAAGTCCTTCAGGTAACTCAGTCCTAGGCCATAAAGGACTTGGGTACCAGTATCTAGAATTCCGTCTGAAAACACACTAGCAACCAATGCAACCCCTGAAGGAAAGATGATACATGTGCTGAATAGATGACACCATTTGCAACCTATGCAACTGCCTTCTGTATCAGCTGAAACTTTCAAATGCTCATCAAGGGCAGTACCATATAGAGTGCATTGCAGTAATCCAAATGGGAGGTCATGACCCCTCTAATCCAGGAATCAAAGCAACTGGCGCCCAGCCCAAAGGCACTCTTAGCAACAGCAACCATCTGCTGTTCCAGCAGGAGTCATGAACCCAAGAAGATGCTCAGATTGTGCATCAGGTCCATTTGAAACAGTGCCACCCCATCCAGGACCAGATATGGAAAAACTTTGGTACCAGAAAGCCCAAGAACCTACAGCCACTCCAACTTGCTTGGTTTGAGCCAAAACCTGTTGTGCCCATCCAGTCTCCTACAGCACCCCAGGCACTGAGACAGGAGTCCATGGCATCACTCAGGCAGCCCAGGGGGGAGATATAAACTGGGTATTATCAGCATATTAATGACCAAACCATCAGATCACCTCACCCAATGGCCACATGTAGATGTGAAGAAGGAAGAGACAATAAAACCCTCTGGCACCCCACAAAGCAGGGGTCATGTGCTGTACCTCTTCATTCTTATCATCATCAACTGGAACAAACCCCAGAGGGAGGAGAATCAGCACAACATTGTGCCATCCATTCCCAATTCCTGAAGCCAGTCCAGAAGGACACTATGATTGAAGGTCACTGAGAGGTCAAGAAGAGCAAAGATGGATGCACTATCTCTATCAAGCTCCTGCCAGAGATCATTCAGGAGCACAATCAACACTGTCTCAGTCCTAATTCCCAGCCTGAAAGTGGTCCAGATGATCCATGTCACCAAGCCCTTTGAATTTGCCATGAAACCACTTTCTATACAACATTCCTTAGAAAGGAATAACTGTATATTTTTTATATTATACAATTTTGATAATTGTATATATTACAATTTCTAATGCTAGAAAGAACTTTAAATCTGCATAGGAAAGAAAATGGAGGAGGGGTACATTTATGCAATAAATCCCATTGAGTTCTCTAGAATATAATCCAGGGAATATACATTCTGTAGATATGTTTTGGATTTAACTTTACGACTGCTTTTATAATTTATTTGAGAATAACTTCTACTGCTTATAGTGGGATTTACTCAGAATAGATTCCTTTACAATAAAAACAGTTACTGTAATTATGGAGGTGATTATGGAGGTGCAGGATTGATATTTGTAACAGAACCCAGCTTGTGGTGCAAATTTACTATATTGTTTAAATTTTTATTTCTTTCATTGACTGACAATATGAAATTTACAATATGAACTCTGCTTATGAAAGCATTCTTAATTTAGGAGCTCATATTACCTTTTTATTGCATATATGCTTAATTTTCTATGTGAAGTAGAAGCCTTAGTAAAGTTTAGGAATCTTATCTTCCAGTGAAAACCAGCATATTCTTTTTCAAACCTTATTTGTGTGAAGAAATGCGTAACAATGAAATGTATGAGACTGTATTTTATAACTTTTCTGTCCTCTTCCCAAAGGAATATAATCTTATGGTTTTATTTTTAAATGACTTATATTGAAGTGTTTCTTTTGTCTAAAGTTAATGTCTATTAATGTTTGTAAAATTGAACATGATGCATATTAAGAGGATGAAAAATACAGTCCCCAATTCCCCATTTGTTTCTTTAAGAAAATATAGCTTTAAAATGTTTTAGATAATTTGGTTGATAAGGAATTGTATAACCTACAGTTCTTTATAATTTTGAAAAACAATAGTTAAGAAACAGACCTTAATTTTGATGAACCAAAAGTGCAATTCATTTTCAGCTGGTCAAAGCAACTGATAACAAGGACTTCCCCTTCCACTGTATACTATACTGTTTTTCCATTCACTGGATGATGATGATGATATTCAGAAATGTATTTATTTTAGGTTGAATGTTTCACACAAACAAGGAGATGTCCCTTGCATTTTCATTTCAATGTGATAAAGTAATTATTTTATTTAATTATTTGAAATGCTCATTTTCAATGAGAGGAAAAAGATCAGACCCAGCCCATTCTTCAGGTTGACACTACTCCAGGTTTGGAAAAGAAAAAAATAAATAAAAAGAAACTATTTTATAACTGCAGGATGAAGCATCCATCTAGCAAAAAAAAAAAAAAGTGATCTAAGTATTTATGAGATTTATGAACAAATATTCTAGGAATTGGTTGAAGTTGAAATCATTTTCTTACTATTTTTGTCATTAAAACTCATTTTAATACTTAAAGAAAAGGTAATTCAGAATTATTGTGTTCAAATAGTAGTGCAATTGTCCCATTCCCACCTCCAAAAGAATTCCAACTGGTGGTTGAAACATGCTCCTTTAACTTTGCAGTATTATGCAAATACCTCACAGGAGACAGACACCTGTTATCAAAGAAATTTAAAAAGTCGCTGTGACACTACCACCTTCCCTTGAACCCTTGTTCATTGCTGACTGTGCTCTTGTTTCCCTTTAAGGTCTGGCGCACTTGATGATGGGCGACCAAGGTATGGGTTCTGCTCCTTTTCCACTCTGCTTCGGTCATTTTATTTTATTTTATAAAAATTCTTTGTTTCTTTTTTGTGTAGCTGCTTCAAAGTCCATCATAACAAATGATGGCCAAATGCTTGTGAGCTGTCTCAGGCTGTAAATAATCACACAGTCCTAGTTACATCTTTCGTTTCTTTCCCCCTTCTTTTGCACTGTGTGTCTATAAATAGATATATCTTATGTTGCTGTTATTTTTTTTTTTACTATTTGCTCCTGAACCCTTCTGTTCTATTTTTTATTGTTTCCTTCATCCCACTAACAATAAAATAATTGTTTAAAAGGGTGCAATTTCTAAAAATCATATTGAGAAATTGTTATTTTAAATATATTGCTGATCCTGAAATGCACTCTTCAGATAGATATGAAAGAAGACACTTGATTTATAACCCACCCACCCACCCCCAAAAAAGAAATCTGCTTTGCATTAATGCATGGTTGTTTGGAAAATGCAGAAACCATTTGTTTTTGGCTTCTGGAATGTTAAGAAGACTTTTTTGTAGCATAATGGAATTAGTGATGTGACCTCATCACCTTGTGAAAATTCTTGCCCACCCAACTCAGTGTTCATGTTACTTTTGTGTCATGCCTTTGAAAAATGAAGCATGGGTTACTTCTGTATTTTCGTGCATGTACATGAAAGTTGGAAAGCAGTAATTCTTAAAATGTGACACCAACTGCATCTCCATTTGTCTTCAATCATTTGCCTCCAGCTTTGTCTCTTTTCATGTTTTGGACTGTGATGGCATTTACATTTACATACACAACTCTTACTGTTGTTTCTCTTTTGTTTTCTCTTCCGTCTGGCAATACTTTCTTCATGGAACCATTTCATCAAATCCATAGGTAAAAGTAAAGGTATTACATGACTTTCTTCTTTTCTTCCTTCTACCTCCCTTCCCATTCTTTTAAAAACCATCTATATACTGTAAAGTATGTCTGAGTGATGCAAGTACTGTATATGTATTTAGTGTTGGTACATTGTGTTGGTGGGAGGTAGGTATGCTTTTTTATTTTACAAGAAAAGCTTAGTTGGTAAGGATCAGGGGAAAAAAACACACTCAATTTTTTAAAAGAATGTTTGTTGTGTCTTGAATACGAATAACAGGGCTGTGATACTATGATCTAATGTTATCTTGATAGTGTAAAAAGCATATAAGTGACATAATCTATTAGCCAAGTTTTCCAGTACAAAAATTATGCATGGATCAAATATAGGACAGTGTACATTTCGGCAGAAATGTAGGTGAGAATTAATTCGTAATAGCTAAAAACTTTGAGTGTACAATATAAGGTATTAGAAAGGTGATGCCAAACACCAATATTTTTTGAAGAAAATATAAGGAGGAAAGGATGGGGTAGGTTGATAGAGGCTTTTCCAGGATTAAGACAGAAGCTTGGAAGAACAATCGGAGGCAGGCCCTGGAGAAGCTGAATTCAACTAACCATCTGAGGTATGAATTCTGTTTTCATTGCCCTCCAAATGCAAAGCATATCTGTCAGAAGCAGTCTGACAGCATGAAGCCACCAGAGAGCTGAGTTGAGAAACTTGGCCCAGGGTCCACTGCAATGACATGTAAGTCTGAGTACCATAAGAGTAGAGCTTTTGTCTATTATAGAAGGTTGGCTACAGTTTTGTCTGTAAGAGTTTTGTGCATAGGTTTTTAACTTTATGTGCATAGCTCAAAGCAAGACTACAACAAGAGAGACAGGAGACCCAGAAGATTAAAAGAAAGTAGGCTGTGTGAGATTTTTTGGGGAAGAGATCTTATTTGTTCTTTTAAATTTGTTATTTAAATCTCTATGTGAGAACAAATCAAAACAGGTAACTCTTGTCGCATCCTTTGGTAAGTTTGAAACTTAATTAGTGTATCAGTATATAGTAATTAAAAATGAAGTGCAAACCATCCAAATAATTTTAGTGTTACTGACTTTAAGTGGAAAGTGAAATACCCAATTTTCTTTTGTTGATATTAGTGGATCTCAAAAGGAATTCCATTTGAAAGAATGTCAAAATATTTAAGTATATATATAGTATGTGTGTATGCTTGTGTGTTTCTGGAAATAAATTGTTTTGGCAATGTAATTGTATTGTTTGGTTAATATATGAACCACAATATTTTCAGCCACTCTCCATTTCACATTCCACTTTACTGAATGTATTATTAAAGCACCCAAACTGCTACAATAAATGGTGCTGCTTGCCTACAATTTGCCCCTGAAGCCAGTTGCTTTAGTGTACCTGGCAGATAATATCAGGAATGACATCACTGAAGTGTAATAATACAATAAAAATATAATAAAGAAAAAATGAGATATTTTTGTCCATTCTTAACATCTAAATCCTCCCTTTGCCTAATAGTCTCAGGTATACATGCACTGACAGAAAATGTTGTATTCTTGAGAGTAGGTTTGCTGATGTTGCTCCTTCACCTTAATCTGTATTATAGAACTTTACCTTCCTGCCATTTGTAAGTTAAAATGTTAAAATCTTGCAATATAGTGTATGTGGTACTATGCCTAAAAATGCCCTAAAAGCTACAATTCAGTGAGTTGTTCAAATAAGAAGCAAGAGGAGGAAAACAATTACATCATTTTTTTTTTATTCCCTTAGAAATAGCTTTCCTATCAGGATATATTGTTTCATTTTGAATGCCTACTGATTGTGGGTTTTGAAACAAACAAACAACGTGGCACCAGAATTATACATTATTATTGATGTAAATGGGAAGGATTCCAAAAAAATATCATTACAAATTATTCTTTATGAGATATAAATGTGAATAAAGGAGAAGTTCCTCTAACACCATCATACTATCACATTTAGGGCTGGCCTTGATTTATTCAGATCCAAAAAGAAATGACCATTTGAAAAAAAAAAAAAACCACACACCCTACATTATTTATCTGTTCAAAGTGTTTCGTATAATCAGGAGTGATGGGAAAGTCCCTGTGATTATGGAATGCATATATAGTTCAGCAAGGAGGTCAGTGAAATAGTGACAGCAACAATGTCATGGCCCAGTGGGAAGAAAACACATTCTCTTCTAATAAAACATACCTCCTAAGGATAAATGATTTGTGGACATATGGTGAACATATGGTCATTGACATATGAACAATGAAATATATATACCTAACGTTGTTGGAATTGTTTTCCTATTTTATATATATTGACCATATCATATAAAAGCTTTATATTAGCAGTCATTATGGCAAAAATCAGCAATCTACAACATTTAAACACACAATAGCATCATCAGAAGTAATATATTTTTATCATTTGTCTAAAACCTGCAATTTATTTCCTTCTTGCCAATATTTATTATATTTGTCCCTCTTTCTGACATGGAACTTGAGTTGATATGCATGATTTAAAAAAAAACAAAAACAAATCCTGACACCATTATGGAATAAAGATTATGAATCCTCATGCAATAAGTTTGATAGCAAATAGGGATATAATCAATAATCCCATTTTCACACAACAATCCTTTATAGTCTAAGCCAGTGGTTCTTAACCCAGGTCCATATACCCTTTGTAGGTACATAGGTAGATTTTAGGGAGGGTCAGTTAATTTGGATGCGGGGGGGGGAACTATAATCTTATTTTCACAATCCTTTAATTTAAATTTACCTTTTCATTCATTAATTTATGTAGATAACAATGTAATTTATGATGTCTAGCCCCTGAAATGTTTGTTAACTAGTAAATTTCATTATTATTATACTTAAAAATTGTGTCAATATTGAGTTAATGGATAAATAAAGTTACATATTTGTTATTTTTCAATATTTTGATGTCTGTATTTAATCATAATTAGTTTCCTGTGCAGTCTATATCTGTGCATTCTTATACAAGGTATTCATTGCAAACTTCATTGAAACAATAGATTCTCAAAGGAATTTATGGCAAAAAAGCCTTAAAGCCTTATTTATTTATTTATTAGTCACATTTTTATGCTGCCCAACTCCTGAGGGACTCTGGGAGGCTAACAACAAAGAATAAAACAATGTGAACAATATCCCATACAAAAGTTTTAAAAAGAAAATTAAAACGCATACACTCTAATTCGTGGCCGGGTCTCGCAGGATCACCGTAGCGAGATCAACGGCCCCAGTCCTGCCAGAAGAGCCAGATCTTCACCACTTTCCGGAAGGTCAATAGGGTGGGGGCAGTCCGGACCTCAGGGGGTAATTGGTTCCAGAGAGTCGGGGCAGCCACAGAGAAGGCCTTCCCCCACGGGCCTGCCAGCCGACATTGTTTAGCTGATGGGACCCGGAGGAGACCGACTCTGTGGGATCTTACTGGTCGTTGGGAGCTATGCGGTAGAAGGCGGTCTCAAAGATAGCCTGGCCCTGAGCCATGTAGGGCTTTAAAGGTAATAACCAACACCTTGAACTGTGCCCGGAGACTGATAGGGAGTCAGTGCAGCTCGCGGAGAATTGGTGTAATGTGGGTGTATCTAGGTGCACCCACAATAGCTCGCGTGGCTGTATTCTGGACCAACTGTACTCTCCAAACACTTTTCAAGGGTAGCCCCATGTAGAGTGCATTGCAATAGTCCAACCGTGAGGTGGCAAGGGCATGAGTGACTGTGAGGAGAGCCTCCTGATCCAAGTAGGGTCGCAATTGGTGCACCAGACGAACCTGGGCAAAGGTCCCCCTAGCTACAGCCATCAGATGTTGTTCCAATCTCAGATGTGAGTCTAGGAGGACACCCAAATTGCAAACCCATTCTGAGGGGGGCACTTTCTCCACCCCCCCAGAACCAAGGATGAACAATCAACATAGTCTTTAGGGGGCAATATCCAGAGCCATTCGGTCTTGTCTGAGCCTGTTGACTCCCATCCAGATTTTCACAGCCTCCAGGCACCATCACTTGACTGTAAGTGACCCCTGAACTTTTTTGTTTTGTTTTCATGGCCCTCAAATGCATTCTGAACCACAATTCCTGAA